AAATTAAAGAAACATGATGCAAAATCCGATTCTGCTTTGTCAAGCTGGCAAATTCAGATCGTTGCTTTCATATCTTTTGACATCCCAATCTCTAACTGATACGATGATATATTCTCGCCAGTGTTCTAAAAAGCGGTCTAGGCGGTCGCCTAGGCCCCGATTAGTCGCTAGGCTCTCATGCGACGCCTAGATAACCGCTTTGACCGCCTAAAATTACGTAGATCTTGTTTAATGTATTTTTTTAATTTCAATTAGAGTTTTATTTATATATATAGTTATAAATATTCATATATTGTTTAATATAAATATAAATAAATGTTTTATTTAGTTTTTGTTTATAATTTTATAATTTTTAGTTTTATGTAGATATTTTATATAACTTTTATATATAATATCATATTTATAATGTTTTATGTTATAAACGTCTAAACCACCTAAAAAATCGCCTAGGCCCCGATTAGGTGTTCTAGGCGCTAGGCACTGGATCACCGCCCGCTTAGCGCCTAACGCTTTCTTGAACACTGATTTTCGCATACACATACATACACTCTGAAATATAACTTGTCGACAGATTAAAAGAAATGGGCTTATTTTCAGCGAATAGAGAGGCTTATAAAAAAACAAGAGGCTAATATATATCCAAAAAAAAAGTGTCATGATCATCTCAAACATTCCATAAGGTTGTCTTATAGGTTTGGATCAGCTGTCTCGAGCTTCTTCTATCTTAAATATGACGTTGACTCGCTTCTTCTATCAATACGAGATTTCTAATGGCTTATATTATATCAGCTTACATTTTTCCGTACAACATACATATGTATATATCTTTCTCATTGTTATATAACCTATCAAAACAATGAAATAGAGATCATTGATTCATAACGAATTTACATATTTTAATTAGGCTATAGAACGGATAATCATTTTGCACTGTGGAAGAATAGTAAGGTCAAATTTTCCGATATTCTTGATTTGTTATGTAAAATTGAAAATTCCCTTTCATTTTCATGTTAGAATGGGCACTGCCGTAAATGACTTCCCCTAATTGGTCCAAAAATACATTTATGGGAACAAAAACAAGATAATTACAATGTCATTTACTCGTAAATGGGCCTAACTATTGACCTGTTTATTCGTGGCCTATATTATTCGACCCAGTCTGAATAATGAATTTGCCGTATCCATCGATGATACGCATTCTATATTTATGTACCCACTACCAAGTAAAATTCGATTATTAAATTTTATTACTAACGTGTGATCATTTGGTGTCATAAATTAAGAGTTAAGACATTAGTTTATAGAATTAATTATGAACATTAACTTCTTTTTTTTTGTTTAAATATGACCATTATTGTGAAAAAATAAATAGTCAAGAAAGAATGTGTGATATTTGTTGCATGTTAGAAGTTAATGAACTTTGACTGAACATTCAGTTTAATATTCTTAATTTTGACCGGACGGTTAGTCGGTTACAACATTAACCATACTTAACGGCTCATTATTATTCTTATATAGTATCTCTATTGGCTATTACGCTAAAGCTGTTCTCGTTCTTTAAGAAAATTAAAAAAAAGAAACTCGGAGTTTCATGTGGCCTCATGTGTTTTCTGCTTCTCTTAAAATCTCGTGTAATCAAGAAAATGAAAAGAAAAAAAAAAAATCCATTGAAATCAACTTATGCCACTGATTTATTTCTTGGTGAAGTACTTAATTAACCAACAGTTGACCAATCAATTAACTAATATACCAACAGTTGATTAATTAATCAAATATTTTGCCACATTCCCGACGGTTGTGATTCACTCGCCAATTAAAAATGTATCTAAAAATGCTATTATTTGCTTAAATTAGACCGTTTGATCATTAGCTCAATCTCTAACACAAATACTACTATGTATTAGACTACTATTAGTTTGATTATCAACGTGTATACGTATCGATTTGTAGATACATGCATTATAAATACTACTTTCATATAGTATGTAATTAACAAGTTTGACTTTCTAGTTGAGGAATCCGAGCAGTGGTTAAGGCAAAATTTATGATAGATAATCATGTCACATGCATTACCCTAAACTTACTACATCATTATAATTAAATCCGACTAAAACTCTATTTTACATAGAATATATCATTGTTTTAGAAACCAGTTTAGAATTAACCACTAACTTTTATTCTTCTTATCTCATTTCTTAGAATGAGATTTCTAATTATTAGTAAGACCATAATATATTTTATATATACACTGTGAGCAGCTTTTGGGTAGGAGCCATGTGGAACATATATGTGTCCTTGTTGCATATTTGATCAAATCCACCATAATTATACAGTTATACTATTATATAGGTTTAATATATATAGAAATGAAAGAAAAGAAAATAAAATAAAAAAAGGGATAGTTTTCACAAAAGCCGTTTGGAGAATCTACGAGGGTCCCTTTTTAGAGAGACGATCACTGAACCTAACCAAAAACTTAAAAATAATAATCTATCTATATTAGTACAAAGACACTATTATAGTACTCTTCTGCTTTTTAAATAAATTATGCAACAATATACATTGGCTGATATAAAATAATTGCTGACGTACCACCAACCTCAAATCCTGATGGATGAATTACACTCATAATTATTAGCAACATCATATATATATATATATAGTATTTTCGATAATTATTGTTTACAACGGAATTCACTATGCCGTTTTTTTTTGGTTTGTTAAAAGGCGTTTTTCACTAGCCCGATTTACTTGCTTTTTTCTTATGCTATTCTCAATCCTTTGAAAATTTAAGAGACTACAAAATATTTTAAGTCTATAGCTGTGGGAAAACAATGTCGGCGTATATAGTTAGTTAAATTCTCCACTATTTCGAATTTATAAATTACGTCTACTTTTCATTTTATAACTGATATTTTACGTTTGCTTGATTCCATATATATTCTCGAAGCTTGCTAGCTTCCAAATAATCAAACAATTTTATATCAGATGACAATAATACATATAAACTTTATACCTTGCGACATGAGAATTTTATATACAAGGAGAAACGGGGAGTAGAAGTTGCATTACGACATAGAGAACAATCGTGTAAATATAGATATTACTTTTCATTCTGACTCTTTATTATAAAATTTCATATTTGGATGTTATCTCTTTTTAGGATGCTTTTAATTATGAGTTATGTTCTTATGTTAAGCAGATAGTTTGGATGTTTCAGTTTTGAAAATCGGTAATCGGATATTCGAGATTAATCGAAAAATATAAATAATGGAATGTAAAACTATGAATGAAACTACTCTAACTAAAACTAGTATATTTAGTTATTTACCTAATGGGAATTCCGATTCGTGCACATGTCTATGTCATTTCCCTATGAATATTTTTCATCTTTGCTAATTTAAAGTTAGTGGATTACATCGATGCATGCATATATACTTGTACTTCCCAAATATATTATACGTCACGAAATTTTAGGAATTCTACGAGTTTCTAGACCTAGGTACGTTTACGATTCATTTAATACTATGAATGCTAATTTTATTAACATATCTGTTTCTAAGCTAAGGAACAAAAAAAGTAGTAATAAAATTGCATTTAAGGAAATGAGTGCCAACTTTTATTTCATTTTTTCCCAATGAAAGTCTTCAACTAAAGTTAGTGTAATTAATTTTTTAATAACATCCACTAAAGTATAATCAAGTGGAAAAAGATGTAACAAACTTCCAACTATTCCCTTTGGGGATTATAAAAATGTTCTCAGGCAATGGAAATTGATATAAAACTTGAAATTGCTTAAATGACAAAAGAGAAACTATAAAAAGATATAGTTGCAATAATAAAATTAAGAAAGTTGCAAATTGATTTGATGCGGTTAGGTAGTCGGCGGATGAGTAAAAAAATAAAAAGTGGGCCAACAAAATTAGGACCCGCTCTTGACTCATCATCATCTTCTCCACGTGGTTTAGTATTTGTCAGCATGACGTGCCACGTGGATTTATGTGACCAATGATTGAATTAAGATATTAAATTGTTTTTATAGGTTAGCGTAATTAACCTGTGGGCTTATTTTTAAGTGGAGATAGTTGGCTAAAACAAACAAATTATTCAAACTCTCTCTCTTTTATTTGGCCATCGAAAAAAAAACTATATGGTGGAGCGAATATTAGTTTGTCATATTTTTGCCCAAAAGAAAAAAAAAGTTTGTCATATAATCACTTAGTCTTAAGAAAAAAACAAAATAAAACAAACACTCTCTAGTCTCTCTACAATGGTCGTTTACTCTTTTAGGTTCCACTTAGAACTTAACGTTATTTTAATTTAACCGCATTTTATGAAATTAAATTTAGCAATTTGCATGTCAGGTCAATCACCGCGAAGAAAATAACATCCCAAATTTAAATTTCGAGCAACATAACAACAAATCTAAAAGACCTATCAGTATCACACGTACGTACTATTAAGACTCATAAATTTGCTTCGCGTGAGTATGAACATACTGAAGCTCATGGTACTGGACCATACTATAAATTTTTTGGATGATGCGTATATGTTATGTATCTATCATTTCATTATCTTTTGGCCCAGTACTCTCCAATTTATCACCCTTTCACATTACTAAAATTCAAGTAAATTTTGTAGCAAAACCGATGGGAATCAAAATTAATACTATCAATAATCAGTTTACGAAATGATAATATAATATAGCTTATGGTTAAGGATTATTGTGAGATATACTCTAATCAAAAGTCGCACAACGAACTTTGCAATAAAAGAATCGAATATTTTCATTTTTTATAGAAAAAAAAACGCAAAGAATGTTAAATTATTTCGCATTTTAAGCAAAGGCATATGACAAAAGTTAGGTCCTAACTTAAATATCGCATACAAATTATTCACACTCATAAAATAATCAAATCCATAGAACGCGCAAATCACATGCAGTTTCGTCATAACTCTTAAATCCTATATATACACACTTCTCTTCTCACTCCAAATCCAAACCAATAGATCTCATTTCTCATACAACAAAACACACAACACCAAACATTCAACTTCACTACCTATACTTTCAAATCGATCAAAACCAACCCCCAAAACATACTTGCTTTCATTCAAACTCACTCTAAAAAATGGAAAATATGTTTAGACTCATGGCAAGCGAAGAATATTTCTCAGACCGGCGATGTGTTTGGGTCAACGGTCCGGTTATCGTCGGAGCTGGTCCTTCCGGTTTAGCTACAGCGGCTTGTCTACGTGATCAAGGAGTCCCATTCGTTGTGGTCGAGAGATCAGATTGCATAGCTTCACTTTGGCAAAAAAGAACCTACGACAGGCTTAAGCTTCACTTGCCCAAGAAATTCTGCCAATTACCGAAAATGCCCTTCCCGGATCACTACCCTGAATACCCAACGAAACGACAGTTCGTCGATTACCTTGAGTCATACGCAAACCGGTTCGAGATTAAACCGGAATTCAATAAAAGTGTCGAGTCTGCTCGGTTTGATGAAACCAGCGGGCTATGGCGTGTCAGAACAACTTCGGCAGGAGAAGAGATGGAATATATTTGCCGGTGGTTGGTGGTGGCGACGGGAGAAAACGCCGAACGTGTTGTCCCGGAGATTAATGGTCTTAAGACGGAGTTTAACGGAGAAGTAATTCATGCATGTGAGTATAAGTCCGGCGACAAATTCAGAGGAAAGAGAGTTCTTGTAGTCGGATGTGGAAACTCCGGCATGGAAGTCTCTCTTGATCTTGCTAATCACAATGCTATCACTTCCATGGTCGTTAGAAGCTCGGTAAGCAAAACAAAACTGATTGTTTTCTTTAAACAAAACATAACTTTTGTATGAAACTTTAAGCTAATCGTGTTCTTGTGATTTTTAATTCGACCAGGTTCATGTTTTACCGAGAGAGATTATGGGGATATCAACATTTGGAATCTCAGTGATGATGATGAAGTGGCTACCTCTATGGCTCGTAGACAAGCTTCTGCTAATCTTATCGTGGCTTGTTCTAGGGAGCTTATCAAAGTATGGGCTTAAGAGGCCTGACATCGGCCCAATGGAGCTCAAAAGCATGACAGGGAAGACGCCGGTTCTTGACATCGGTGCTCTGGAGAAGATAAAATCCGGCGACGTAGAAATTGTACCTGCAATCAAAAGGTTCTCGCGTCACCATGTGGAGCTAGTAGATGGTCAGAAGCTAGATATCGATGCAGTGGTTCTCGCCACCGGTTATCGTAGCAACGTCCCTTCTTGGCTTCAAGAAAGTGAATTCTTTTCGAAAAACGGGTTTCCGAAATCGCCGTTTCCAAACGCGTGGAAAGGGAAATCGGGATTATACGCGGCCGGATTCACGAGAAAAGGATTGGCTGGAGCATCAGTAGACGCCGTTAACATCGCTCAAGACATTGGAAATGTATGGAGAGAAGAGACCAAACGACAGAAGATGAGAAGAAATGTGGGTCACCGAAGATGCATCTCAGTTGCTTAAGCCTCAAGTTAGGGGTTTTCAATAGGAAATATATTAATAAATCGATTTATTTGTAAAAAATATACAAAAGGAAAAATGTAAAATAGAGTAAAGAGAGCCCTCTCCTGAAGTCCCTGACTGTTTTTTTAAATTACGCAGCTGTAGGGGCGTTTTGTAAAATTAGGATGACGTGGCTCTCTGATTTTTTTCTAATAATAAATATGCTTATGTAATTCCTTTTTAGAGGTAAATTAAATTAGTGTTCGTCTTATTGGGCATAGAAACAAATACAAGAGACAGACAAGTTGGAAGAAACTTGTAAACAGGCTTAGCTCGTTATATATTGGCCCAATACACAGAGGCCCAGACTCGTTGATTGCATGTAGTAGGAATAGAATGTTGAAGGAGGCAGCTCCGTCTGTTGTTTTAAGACCGACTCGACCTATTTAGAACATGACCCGGTTGAGTAAAATTTTTGATTCAAAGATAGCCTTCTGATTCAAAAGTTGAGAGTATATTTTTTTTTAATCAATAGATAAGAAACAACAAAAAAGGTGGATTTTCTAAGTAGCACACTCACAAGAACTCTTTTTTTTTTTTCTTTTCAGTCTTGATCAAAAACTGGATATAGAGAATCATACTGCAACAAAACAATACCCTACGAGCTTTTCGATATCTCCTTGAAAATGCGAGGGAGAATCTCATGTGCGTTGATATCCAGAGCTTGTGGTTCCCTGAAATCAAAACTCCAACTCGTTAAACTCTTGAGTTAGTTAGATACAAAAGCTTGTGTGAAGTTATAGGTACTTATCAAATTCTTAAAGCTCATTGCAAAACCAAGAAGAATAAGTGTTAGAGAAAGAACCTACCTGCACAAAGTTTGTCCCTTTTCTTTCGAGCTAGGGATGAACCAAACTTTTCGAAGAGAGGGAGATTCAAACTGAACAAAGATTCCATCATTTTGTCCGAGTTTCCATTTCCTTGAGCCTTGACCTTTCCACACCTGTGAGACATCGGTGAACCGTCAGTCCATATATACAAACCAGAAATAGAGACTCTTTAGCAAGCAAAAAAAGAGAGATTTGATTACCTGTGGGTAGGATATACTACTCTTTGGTGTTACTAAGCAAGCAGCCTTGGAAAATGACTCTTCTGCGTATTGCCTCAGATACGTAAAGCAGTTACTGTGCGTGTCCGGTGACTGAAAGGCCTGAAGTAGGGAAAGATATTAGTTTTATCAGACAAAAAAACAGATCTTTCGTAAGATCTCAAGTATGCTCATGCCCTTAATACCTTATCGATGTTGACAGCTGGTGCGTACTTATCGGTTTGTGTTTTCTCTTTGTCAAGAAGGAAATAGACTCTAGTATCGACTTTAGATGTCTCGTGCCACGACTTCACAGCTGTCTCCATAGTCTCAACAATAAAAGAAAACATCTCTTTCCAACACTCTTCAGTTCCATAGTTTTGAGACTGCAAGTGTTGGTTCATATGGAGATATGGAGACAATTAATAATCTGAGTTGGAACAATCAAATATAAGCAACGAGAAAGGCCTATACTGATTCTCTGGAATTTCACTTGGAGAAAAAAAAAAGGACTGACCATTTCAGATTTAAAACTTTCAAGATGCTTGGCCATGTCAACATTAGATCTCAAATTCTCGAGTTCTTGAGCTCTCTGTTTCTCCTTCTGCAACAAACCGAGCCTCTTGATCTTTCTAGAAACTTCTGTGCTCTGTGGGTTGTACTGCAGAGCCATTTCAAAAGCAGCCAAAGCCTGACACAATCATCACAATTTTAACTACTACGGTAAAGCTTTGTGATAAAAATGTAGATGGAACCAAACTAAGAGATAAATGTATACATACATCTTCGTATTTTTCCATGGCTTCAAGCACACAACCTTTCCTGAAGTACCCCTGAAGAAGATAGATCAGAAAAGCCATTGTTTACATAACGATACTGATACTTTTATTGATGATGAAACCGAAAAGAAGAAAAAAACATTGTCATGTTTTGATTTTACCTTTTCCCACTGAGGGTTGAGTTTGATGGTAGTCTCAGCATCAGCTAAGGCTTTGCTAAGCTTAACTAGGCTCAAAAATGCAGCAGCTCGGTTACTGCACCGGATAAACAAAAAACCTTTATTACACCTACTCACATTGACACATACATTGTTCCAATTCACAGAACCTTAAAACCAAAAGCCTCAACTTTTAGTATCCTAAATCACAATTGATCTTCTCAAATATAACCAAAATGTTGTACTGCTACTATCAAGGACAAAGCAATTCAGGTTAAAAGCCTAATTTTTTCCACCTTAAACAATCTCATCTTAGAAAAAACCAGATCTTTCTGAAAGAAACCCAACAATCAGATTTGGAGCAATCTCAACTTAAACTATCATTTTTGATCGAAACCCAATAGGAATCGTAAGATTGCAAATTGTAGTAAAAGAAAACCTGTAAAGAGTAGCGTTAGAAGGATCGAGCTTGATGGCTTGAGTATAGAGAGCTGCGGCTTTAAGGAAGTTGCCAGCTTTGAAGAACTCGTTGCCTTTGTCTTTGAGAGATTTCTCTGCTTCTCCAACATTTGTTGCCTTGCCTGCTTTCTCCGCCATCATTTCTCGAGTTTCGTAAGAAAGCCAAAGAACATGAATCCAAGTGTGATTTGCTTTTCTATTTTAGGGTTTATAGAGGGACAAGAGTGACTTCTCTTCTGTTCTGTTCCTCGTTTTGGTATTACTTTTTCTTCATCATTTGAGTTCTCCTTATGCATCAATTTTTAAACATAACTAAAAATGGGTTTAGATTTTTCCCTAGTTGGATAAATGATGAGCCCAATAACAGTAAATCATTAGTTCTATAATAACTTGAAGCAATGAAAAGCCCAATAAAATAAATGGGCCTGAAATTTGTCAATAAAAAGATTCGGCCACATTCCACTTCACCGACAACCGACGGTTCAAACTTCAAAGACGGTAGCTATCATCAATTTGACTCCATTTCGTTTGAATTATCCCAAACCCATTTTTATCAGAAAACTCTGTGTTTATTTTCCACCTAGACTAGTAAAATAATAATTCCTTTTTTTTTTTTTTGACTAAAATAGTTCCTTTCTCTAGTAAAATATTGAGGTTGGATTGTAGGAATAATAATTCTCTTTCTTTAGTTAAATAATAATAATGAATTCATAGGGTTGAAATAAAGAATGCACATAAAAGAGGTGGAATAACTACAAATCAAATCTTACTTATGTTTTACATGCCGTGTACTTTACGATTTATTTTTGCATTGGTTGTTTTGACCGAAATATTGATTAATCTATTAACTTTGAAAAAAAAAACAATGTTGTTAAAAAAAACTGAATAGAACAAGTCATGTTTTAACTTTAAAAAATTCAAGATTTAGTTTGAGGTTAATATATATAGAAAATATATAAAGCTCTTGCAAAAGAGAAAACGTATGAACCCATAAAGTATTTGAATCATATTAATGAGAGTTTGGTGGGAATTAATTTGGTAGCACGTAGCCTGTAGTTTTCAAAATCCTTAAAACACTTACTATTAAACTTCATTTTTAACATTAGAAGTGTTGATGGAATAATTAAAAGTTAAATTGTCACATTTAGTCGCTAAACTATTTCTATACAATAAAAAAATCAATTCTGGAAATAAAAATTACGCAGGAAAAATAGTTTTCCAACATTAAAAAGTAGATTATAATATAAAGAAATAAATAAAATAACGCGTCCTTTTTTTTGCTCTAAAGTCTAAACCCTTGGTATCGAAGCATTTGTTTTTTCAGTTTGAATCTTCAATTTATCTCAGATTTAGATCCAGAGACCAAATTCAGAGCAAAATCTTTGCATTGTTCGTCTCTTACTTTGTAATGCTGTTGATCTTTCTCGGAACCGACTCGGTGGACGCGATCGATTGACTCGTTCTTTTTTTTGGATCCTTGTTGACTCGGCGAGCTTGGCTAAGGAGACATGGGAGGTGTGCCTTCAACGCCGCGAAACACCGGTGGTGATGATGTTTCGGTGGCGGAATACCTCATTGCGACTTTTGTTGGGGAGAAATCGTTTCCTTTGGCGTCTGATTTCTGGAACAAGCTCCTTGAGCTTCCGTTGAGTTCTCGGTGGCCTAGTGATCGTGTTCAACAAGCCTGTGAACTTTTTGGTTAGTGATTCTCATGCGAAATGTGTTGAAATTATAAAGGATTTGTTGTCGAATCCACTATGAGCTAATGAAATTGACCTAGTGAAAGTAGGAGGATGTTTTGAAGTTTGATGTTATTGTTTTTTTTTTTGAAATTTTGTTTCAGAACAAAGCAATGGCTACACTAGGCACCTTGCAAAACTATTGATTCATCTATCTTGGTGTTTGCAAGAGCTTCTTCAAGCTTCTGATGATCAGTCTCCTCTCTATAAGAAAGCTGTTAATGCAACATATATTTCATCCGTCTTTTTGAAGTATTTGATTGAGAATGGAAAAAGTGACAGTCTCCAGGAGTTGCATCTCTCTCTGGACGAAAGTGAACCAGTCCCACATGGCTTTGTAATGGGTAATGACTCTCTAATACTTCTAAGTTTTTTCCAGCGTTAAGGTATTTTTAAGCTGGCTTGAGTTGGCTAATTAAGAGTGTTTTAATGGCAGATCAAGACATCCAGAATTTTGTCATGCATAGTGTGCTGAGCTTCATTGGATCAAATGAAGTGAGGTATGCCAAAGCTGATTCTGTATATTCCAATTAAGTTTCGGTATTAGATGTTCCATTCTCCTGATTTTCATCATTTATTTGGCAAGTCCCAACTCGTATGTTCTACATCAGGAACTTCTGAACTTCATGCTTGTTACAATGTCGACACAGCTTCTTTCTGGACCATCACCTGGACCAAGAGATGTGAACCCTTTTATTGATGCAGCAATGGCTCAGGTAACAAATTTAATTAGTTTTTCTTTGTCTTTTGCATAGATTTTGCCTCATATTAATTTACGCCCTTTCCTTTGGTTCAACAATATTCAGGAAAAGTCTATAGTTTGTCTCGTAGTCAGAAGATTGCTACTTAATTATATTTCCCGACACCGTACTCCTCCAAATGCAAATTCCTATATGTATTCTGATGGAGATTCACAAGGCATTTTGGGAAGAGTTGGTTCTGCAGCTGGTAGGTGTTCGTATATTACTTCATATATGATGTATTATTGTACTAACTTGTAAATGTTGATCTTTTTCTATTGCCTTTCCTTTGCTTTATCTTTTCTTACCTAGCTACTTGAAAACTTTTCTCTTGCATATGCAGCGAGTTTTGTGCTCTTGCCTTTGAATTATCTTGTAAGTAACAGTGGCGGATCTAACAATCCACTAGCGGAGTGCAGCCTTCATGTTTTACTTATCCTAATTAACTATCACAAGTCTGTCATGAGTGATGAGTCTATGACGGATAAAAGTGATGACAGTGCTACCTCGGAATCAGTTTCTAAAGTCCATGTATTTTCCTCTGGCAATACTTTTAGCAAGGCTCTAGCAAATGCTAGAGATGTTGAATGTGAGATTTTTTTCTTCATCTTTCTGAATAGGAAGAATCTGATATGTATATCTAAGCTATTACTCTGATTGCAGTTGACCGCTCAGATGTGGAGGGAAATGCCCACCCTGCTGGTCCACATGTTCGGATACCATTTGCTTCACTATTTGATACTCTCGGCATGTAAGTTATATTTTCTTGAGCTTTTTCTCTACAGTAATTTGTTTTGTTTTGATAGAGATGAATCTTGTATCAAATTCTTAATTCAATAAAGTTCTATGCTACTGTGTAATAACGCAATCTGGCAATGTAGGTGTTTAGCTGATGAGGGCGCTGTCTTGCTCCTCTACTCACTGTTGCAAGGGAATTCCGACTTTAAGGAGTATGTGTTGGTGCGAACTGATTTGGATACTTTGGTATGATTCCTAAACTGCCACTCAATAAGTTCCATGGGTCTGTTTCATTCGTTTGTTCCATTGTCCTCAAAAGTAGAAATCCATTCCTCAGTTTTACTAACCGTGAACTGTTAATTTGTTGAGGTCAAGTCCTTATAGTTTCATATTAATGATCTATGCTTTAATACTTTTGATGGACAGTTGATGCCCATTCTGGAAACGCTATATAACGCTTCAAAGAGAACATCATCAAATCAAATATACATGATGCTAATTGTACTTCTCATACTTAGTCAGGATTCATCTTTCAATTCAAGCATTCACAAGATGGTACGCGCTATTTCCAATTGTAGGGTTGAAACAATTTACTCAACTTCAATAATTTTTCTGATTACGTGCCATTTGAATAGATACTGCCTAGCGTGCCATGGTACAAGGAGCATCTCCTTCATCAGACGTCTCTTGGTTCTGTAATGGTCATTATTCTCATAAGAACAGTGCAGCATAACCTTTCTAAACTTCGGGTATGGCTTTAGATTCATATCTTAGCAATGAAAATGTTTTTTCAGACAAATTCGTTTTAGTTTGGCACTTTGGGTAGGTGCAGCTTTGTAAGAGTGATGTCAAGTTAAAATCTTAGCCAGATATCAAATTCTTCTGACAACAGAAAAGATGTTGGAAAGTGAAATTTATTTGGAGATGTATCAGACATTGGACACTTAAGATATAAATCTCTGTCCGATTAGGCTTGGTGGTGTTGTGCCTTTCTTATAGATAAAAGGCTATTAATTTGGAAAAATAGGATCGTGGTCTATATAGAGTAGTATTAAGTTTTGTGACAAATTCTGTTTCTTGGGCTGTTACAGGATGTGTATCTGCAGACTACTTGCCTTGCTACGTTGGCTAACATGGCACCTCATGCCCATCATTTAAGTGCATATGCCTCACAGAGGCTTGTCAGCCTTTTCTACATGCTTTCTCGAAAGTATGCAATTAATTCCTCGCCTTTTTATAAATTTGCATACATTCTATCTGTTTTTGCATTCTCATTATGGTTCCTATGTAACTGAACATGAATTGTTTAACACAGGTATAACAAGTTATCGGGCCTGACAGGTGATAAGGTCCAAAGCATCAAAATTAACTTGTCAGGAGAGGATCTTGGCGTTTCAGAAGATTTGGTATGACATAATTAATTCAAGCACACGATATATTCCATGGCATCGTTGCTATTCCGTGATTGCTGGTACACTTTTTTACATGTATCATATCTTGCCAACTGCAGGCAGCAGAGTTGCAGATCTTTACTGATTTCCTGAGACTTGTCCTAGATATATTAAATGCAATTTTGACATACGCATTGCCGAGAAATCCTGAGGTATCACTTATTTTTCTCGGCAGCATGAATCACAGAGATTTTTTCTAGCTCTGATTCTGGTTTCTGCAGATTGTCTATGCGATTATGCACCGACAAGAAGTGTTCCAACCTTTCAAGAACCATCCACAGTTCCATGAGCTAGTGGAAAATATATACACAGTATGCTGCATAGGCTTTATTCGTTTGATCTTTGTATCTATGACTTCCTCTTAAAATTCAGAAAGAACAGAGTTTCTGATTGATCTATTTGTTTCTCACTTGCCTAATTGATCTATTTAGGTCTTAGACTTTTTCAATAGCCGGATGGACTCTCAAAGATCGGATCGAGAATGGTCAGTGCAGAAAGTTCTTCAATTCATCATCAACAATTGCCGGTCTTGGCGAGGTGAAGGCATGAAGGTAACCAACCTCTACACTTATCCATCACTGATAATCATTTTTCGTTAGCTATAATTCTTAAAAGCTCCCATCTTTCTTCCATTATTCTCTTTGATAACGCAGATGTTTACTCAACTTCATTTCTCATACGAGCAAGAAAGCCACCCAGAAGAGTTCTTTATTCCATATGTTTGGCAGCTAGCTTTTTCCCGAAGGTAACCAACCCAATATAAACAAACTTATCTATTTCTTCTCTACTTGTCATCACGATGTTGTTACAAAGAACACCGCTCGCATTCCTCTCTCACCTTTCTTTGTGTTCGCAGTGGATTCAGTTTCAATCCAGACGCCATCAACTTATTCCCAGTGCCACACCCAGCTGGAGTAAGTACCTAATTCCATCCAAAAGTTAGGCTTTGACTGAATCTCGCACTTTCTGCTTTTTGTGTCTGCATAAGGAAACATTGCAATTGGAGTTTTCTTTATAGATGTTATCGATTCACTTAGAAGAAAAAAAAAAAAGTACATTAGAATTATACACAAAGGCAAAAAGAAAAAACAATCACTAGGATTGGATCGTTCCTTGTAAGTTTTTGATTTGGCACTTGAATTGATCTTTCCAACGGAATATGTGCAGAAAGAGATAGAAGACGGAAGAGGAGAAGAATCGCAAGGGAAAGAGAAGGTGCAAGAGTTGAAAGAACAGAGAATCGTCTTCGATCCATAAGTATTTTTCGATATAGGAGAGCTTCGATGGGATTGGGACGTATGTATATATTTATACAGTTTAGGGTTCGAATAAGAACAAATACTAAAAAAAGACATTTTATTTTCACCAATTTATATGTTTTTTTAACAATGTAGCTTTGAGTCTATAGATTTTCAATCCATTAATAGGTAGTCTCCCTTGTGACTTGTGTAACCTACTAACCTCGGAAAAATTAGCCTTGGGGAAAGTTAACAATTAATGAAACTGGTTGATTTAGTTAGGTTTTATAACTTCAAAAAAAAAGTACAAATTTACATATCTACAAGTATAAATATACAATCTTAACATCCTTAACCCACAAGTAATATCTAAAAAGACTCTCATTTAATCTGAATTTAAAAAAGGAAAACACAATTACAGAAAGTTACTATTCTAAAGAATTTCCTTTTTTTTTATTGTCAAAAAAAAAAAGAATTTCCTTTTTTAACTCTTGCCCTTAAGCGCGTGAATGGAGACTATAGATGTGTCCGTATTGTATACGATAAAGAAAACAAATATATTATTTTTACAAATTTCAGATACGTTTGTAATATATCACTGTTACGTCTCTTGTCGAGAATCTAGGGTTTCTATCTATCTCTCTCTCCTTCCATGATTTGTAGCGCCTCCCTCTCTCCATCTCTCCATAGCTTCTGGGCTCGATTCCTCTTCTCGGGCTTCCTAATTATGTCCAATTAAACTTCGAATCCTCGCGCTCACCTTACAGATCTTCTCTTTCTCTCTGAGATTTCCGCGACTTTAACCTAATTTTTTCACTTTCAAAGCTTTGAATTTTCTCCGATTCGATTTCTCCTTGATCCAGTGGAGGTTTCTGATTCGTTGCGGTACTTCAGCGGAAGCTATTGGGTGCGTTGAAATGGAATCGAAGATCAAAAAGCCTGTTAATTTAATCGAAGATGATGCAGACATTGATGGAGGTGCCGAGAGTGATTCTACCATTAGTAGCGTTATAAGTTTGGAAGATGAGTCGGTGGTTGATGTTTCTGGTCAAAATCTGGAGTTTTCTCTTCTAGATAATGTCGATGATTCGGTGAAAGGTCTCTACTTCTTCAGGAATGTATTCAATTTGATTCCCAAATCGATTGGAGGGCTTGGGAGGTTACGGAAGCTCAAGTTTTTCAGTAACGAGATCGATTTGTTTCCGCCTGAGTTAGGGAATTTGGTGAATTTGGAGTATCTTCAGGTCAAGATATCGTCACCGGGTTTTGGGGACGGCTTGTCGTGGGATAAGCTTAAGGGTTTGAAGGAGCTTGAGCTTACTAAAGTCCCAAAACGATCTTCGGCTTTGACCCTTTTGAGCGAGATTTCTGGGCTCAAGTGTTTGACGAGGCTCTCTGTTTGTCACTTCTCAATTAGGTATAAAGCTTGCTCCTTTATGTTCCGTTGGTTCAGTTGCAGCATTCTTAATGCTTCTTAATACTACGTAGCATTTATCACTCAAGCAGGTGGTGGCTTTTGACAGTTTCGGTTGATGATCCGTGTAAAATTTCCAGGAAACGTAAGTTAGAAAATTATTGATTGTGATACGTTTGGTGGCTGCTCAATGCGGTGTTTTTAGCATGCTATAGGTGGTTGTTTAGCTTCCTTACTTTTGATGTTTAGTTGGATATCTAGATTGTTATGAAGAAAATTTGTGAAATTGATTGGACTTTGGAATTGAGTTGAGGGTATTCATTGCTTCAAATTACATATTGGACTGCATTTAATTCTGTCTCCCACTTGTTTGTAGATATCTTCCTGCGGAGATTGGATGTCTTAAGAGTCTGGAGTATCTGGATCTCTCTTTTAACAAGATCAAGAGTTTGCCTAACGAGATAGGTTATCTGAGTTCATTAACGTTCTTGAAGGTTGCTCACAACAGACTGATGGAGCTATCACCGGTTTTAGCTTTATTACAAAACTTAGAAAGCCTGGACGTATCAAACAACCGATTGACAAATCTGCATCCTCTCGATCTAAGCTTGATGCCTCGACTTCAAATTTTAAATTTACGGGTACTTGTTTCTATTACTTTTCATAACATTGCTGTAATATTTGGATATATATTCTATGCTCGGGGAAATAACATGGCATTCTATAGGAGTTCATGGATTCTTAAATCTGACAGAGCTTCTTGGATTTTCTGATTGTTTCAAGTACAATAAGCTCCCGAGTTATTGCTGGATTCCGACATGGATACATTGTAATTTGGAAGGGAACTATGAAGAGATGGGCGTTGATACTTGTAGCAGCTCTATGGTTGAAATGGATGTATTTGAAACCCCATATGAGAACAACACCATGACCGTTCCTCATAAAGGTTAGAGTTTGATGTTTCTTTCCTTTGCATCTGTACTGTGTATGCATATAACATTGATAGTTTGATACTTCTTTCTTTTTAACTTTTATTTTTCTTATGTATTCTCTGTTTCCACGTGGATGCAGGCTCCCACCGTAACCCTTTAAATATGTCAACTGGAATCTCTTCCATCAGTAGATGCTTTTCGGCCCGAAAATCAAGTAAGAGGTGGAAGCGGAGACAACATTACTTCCAGCAAAGGGCAAGGCAAGAACGCTTGAATAACAGCAGGAAATGGAAAGGGGAAGTCCCTCCAGAAGGATTAAGTCTGAAGATGGAAGTCGAAGAAACTGGGAAACAGGGCATGAAGGTTCCTCAGAACACTGACAGAGGTTCAGTTGATAAAATCTACTCGGGTGACAATGATAAACTGTTAGAAGAGGCTTCTGTCATTACTTCTGAAGAGGAAGAGAGCAGTCTTAAAGCTAATTTTGCTTCTGACAATTCCCCATGTGTGGAAACCCAATTAACGAGTGAAAGGGATAACGATGAAAGTTGTGAGACCAAGGCATCTTCTCCCTCTTCAGGAGATGCACCTGGTACTGCAGACTATAATTCTTCTTCAGAGAGAAAGAAGCCAAATAACAAGTCGAAGCGATGTAGTGAGAAGTATCTGGATAACCCAAAAGGCTCTAAATGCCATAGACCATCTACCGATATTGCTAATTTATCGCACAAATACAGCAGAAACTCATTTTGCAGCACAGAAGATTCTCTACCTGATGGCTTTTTTGATGCTGGACGTGATAGGCCCTTTATGTCTCTTAGTAAATATGAGGAAATTTTGCCTCTTGATTCACGTGAAGTCATACTCTTGGACAGGTAATTACTATCACTTTTAGTTAGATCGACTAGAACGATCGTTTATCCATGAGCTAAAGCTCACTTTGCCCTTGTTTTGGTTTTGTGTAAAGGGCAAAGGATGAAGTGTTGGATGCAATCACTCTCTCTGCTCGAACCTTGGTAGCTAGGTTGAAGAAATTGAACTGTTTAACCCCAGATGTAGATCAAGTTTCCATCGACAACTTGCAAGTTGCATCATTTCTTGCCCTTTTTGTATCGGATCACTTTGGGGGGAGTGACAGAACTGCTATTATTGAAAGAACCCGAAAGGCAGTGTCTGGTACAAACTACCAGAAACCCTTTATTTGCACCTGTTTGACCGGGAACCAAGACGACTTGGCTGCTCTCAACAAACAGGTCTCAACGACGGCTGAAGATGTCATTTTGTCTGATGTGTGTGAAAAATCTCTGCGGTCTATTAAGTCCAAGCGGAACTCTATCGTGGTTCCTCTAGGGAAACTGCAATTTGGTATCTGTAGGCACAGGGCCTTGCTCATGAAGGTACTCAATTTAGTCTAATGCTATTGGATATCTGACTGTCTGGTTTCGTTTTACATAATTGCTAATTTTTGTTTCTTATATTTTATTTCTAGTACCTTTGTGATCGCATGGAGCCTCCTGTACCCTGCGAACTTGTTAGAGGCTATCTAGATTTCATGCCACATGCCTGGAACATTGTCCCTGTGAAGCAAGGTTCCTCATGGGTTCGTATGGTAGTTGATGCTTGTCGTCCTCATGATATCAGGGAAGACACAGATCAAGAATATTTCTGCAGGTATAACATTTTGCGACTTTATCTTGTATTTACCACTATCTACTAGATGCTCTAATCTTGAATCTTTCTTTTTTGTTGCATAGTCTAATGATATTTTCTTTTTGGGTTAATGATTTGAAAATGCCATGTTTAGAGGTTGGGCTACTGATTGTCGAGTTGTATACAAACAAAAAAGAAAAGAAATAGCGAACTGTGTTTCATTCTCTTTATAATTGTAAACTTTACCTTATATGACCAATCTCTTGAAAAGTTACTGTTGACTTGAAGATATAGTGTACTGTTTTGTGTTGAATGACCAATCTCTTTGTTGTATATTCTGATTGCCACAGGTACATTCCCCTTAATCGGCTAAACGAATCCATTCGCTCAAAGGAAAATTTGGAACCAGGATGTTCTGTTTCTTCTCTGTCAACGGGCAAAGGAGTTGAAAGAGCTAATAGTAGTCTTATCCGATGCAAGCTTGGCTCAACTGAAGCAGTTGTGAAGGTTTTGTTTTTACCTTTTGAAGTCTCTTATCTGTTTAACGATTGACTAAATTTACTTAATAGTTTCTTATTTCCTCAGATGCGTACATTAGAGGTTTCTGGAGCTTCCTTAGATGACATTAGGACTTTTGAGTATACTTGCTTAGGAGAAGTGCGGATTTTAGGAGCGTTGAAACATGACTGCATTGTAGAGTTATATGGACATGAGATAACGTCCAAGTGGATAACCTCTGAAAATGGAGATGAACATCGACGCGTATTGCAATCTTCTATTCTGATGGAACACATAAAAGGAGGATCTCTGAAGGTAACATTCTTTTTTCCTCAACCTATATCAAAAGTCTTTGTAACATCAATCAAAATCTTCTAAATGGTTTTATTGTACTCAGGGACACATTGAGAAGCTCTCGGAAGCTGGTAAGCACCATGTTCCCATGGATCTAGCTTTGTCTATTGCAAGAGATATCTCAGGGGCGTTAATGGAGTTGCACTCAAAGGATATAATTCACCGTGACATAAAAAGCGAAAACGTTTTGATCGATCTGGACAATCAAAGTGCGAATGGAGAAGCCATTGTGAAGCTTTGTGATTTTGATAGAGCTGTTCCACTTAGGTCTCACTTGCACGGGTGCTGTATTGCCCATGTGGGAATACCTCCTCCTAATATCTGTGTCGGTACGCCACGATGGATGTCCCCTGAAGTCTTCAGAGCAATGCATGAACAAAACTTTTACGGACTTGTACATTCTCCAAAACACTGATTCTCTTGTTCATCAACTTTTATCTTTACTCCTCTTCTCTGTTATGAGTTTGCTTCTTTTTTCGCAGGAAGTGGATATCTGGTCATTTGGTTGCTTAATCTTCGAGTTGTTGACACTACAGAATCCTTATTTTGATTTATCTGAGCTTCAGATTCACGAATCCCTACAGGTTTGTCTCACTTTCACTTACATGATCGAGATCTTCTTAATATTATGATTTTAATAGGTTGGTTGTATCTTACTCTTAACCAGATGGGCAAAAGACCAAAGCTACCAAAGAAACTAGAGACACTGAGCTCTGAAACAGAGGAAGACGAATCAACAAACAAACTCACAGAGTTTGACCTAACCGAATCTGACTTAGACACAATGAGATTTCTTATTGACGTGTTTCACCAGTGCACTGAGGAGTCTCCTTTAGACCGTCTAAACGCAGGAGACCTCCATGAAATGATTCTTTCATGGACAAAGAGAGAGTAAATCTCCTTCAGGTACTTCCATTTCTTGACAAAGCTCAAGCCTTTAAAAGGCTTTGAAGCTTAAAAGAGAGAAGATAGAAAGATTGAGTCTCAGTTTCTTAAGATTAGATTTATGGCCAACAATTTGGGCCTAAAGCTTCGTAAGCTTATGGAAACCACAGAACGATAGGTGGTAATTATTTCTTGTAACCTGGTTTGTTTCTTCATTTTGTAACCCCCAAAAGTGTTCTTAGATTGTATCATTTGATTCTGTAGACACCATTGTATCATTCTTCTTCCAACTTTTATTTAAACAAAGAGCATATGAACCATTACATATTTGAAGATTTTTCTCGATTCAACTTTTAATTACGTTTTTTTTTTAATGATAAAACTATTGCAATGTATCTTCTCCTGCAATTAAGTATTTTCTTGTCATGTAATTATATATGGACAACCTTATTATAATCACACAATCAAGATTTGGCGACGTTATGCGTGAGGAAACATCATATTCTAAAAACTGAAGATAAATAAGTAAATAACATTTCAACAAACGAAGGGACAACAACTTTTAAAACTCGCTTCGAGATTCAGTTATCTTTGTACAATAGATCTTTTAGCATGCATAAGTATATAGATAAAGAACATCTATCGAGACGAAGATGTCACCGGAGATATCCTGGGAACGGGCACCGGAAACTCATGAATCTCATCAATCCATGGATTAGTCTTCTCCTTGGACGGATCAATAGTTCTCAAAGCTCTCCAAACCGCACTATTACACTTAAAACCCGATCCAAAAGCAATCTGCCAAGTCCTGTCTCCTCTCTTAATCCTTCCTTTAGCCTCACTATACGCAAGCTCATACCACAGCGAGCTACTGGAAGTATTTCCAAACCGGTTCAAAGTCATCCTCGAAGGCTCCATATGCCACTCAGAAAGATCCAAATTCTTCTCAATCTCATCGAGCACTGCTCTGCCTCCCGCGTGGATGCAGAAGTGCTCGAATGCTAGCTTGAAATCAGGAATATAAGGTTTGATTTTCTTCACATTAAAGACTTTTCGCGCCACGAGTGTTGCGAAAAACAGAAGTTGTTCGGACATTGGAAGGACTAGCGGTCCGAGAGTGGTTATGTTCGTCTTGAGAGCTTCTCCGGCTATAGCCATTAGGTTTTTGGAAAGTGAGACACCGATTTGTTTGTTGTCGTCGTTGTCTTCGCGTTGGTAAACGCAGTTAAAGGCGTTGTCGTCAGCTCCTTTGTGGGTACGGACGGTGTGGATGAGTTGGTATTTGGAGCGGCGGCGGTCGGAGCAGCGGTTAGAGAGGAGAACGGCTGCGCCACCCATTCTGAAGATGCAATTTGAGAGAAGCATTGATCGGTCGTTGCCTAAATACCAGTTTAGGGTTATGTTTTCTGTGCTCACTACTAGTGCATATGAATTTGGTTGGACCTGCATGTATATTACAATTAAAAAATCAGGACTCTTAACGCATATTTATAAGTATAAAAATATTTTTTTAAAAAAAACTGACTGTGTACGTATATATATTGTTTTACGTATTGAAAAAAAAAACAGACTGTTTTGCTATTTTTCATTGTTATAACTAAAATAATTTATTTTGACCAAAAATATGTATATATTTGGAAAAGTAAATATAATGATTTTTTGGTGAAAATTATATGTTTGGTGAAAATTTCTTTATATGAAACCCGCAGATGCATGGCACCAAACATGAGACCTTACGTGTATTGATTATTAATGAAACTTATACTCCTGAAAAACTTGTTGTTTTTGGTGATATTATTGTTCAACAACCTTTCTTCGATTAAATATAACTAAGCAAGCAGCCTAGTATGACACGTCACCTATCAAGTTGGTATAAATTGTTAATATATAGGTACTTACGAGAATATTTACCTTAATTAATATTTAGAATTGACTAATCCCAACTTTAAATTGATCTTTCATATCTTTGTCAAGTTGTTCTCTTCTAATTGTAGCTTTATCTACCAAAAAAAACTACATATGTTGATTTTATTTACATTCGGACAGGATCTTAATTCTTACCAACTACATGTAAATGCAACCATGACATACCACACTTTAGATTGACCGTAACATATGTGTACCCTAGTGTTTGTAAGTATTATACACACACACATAGATTGTATATTAAATATAAACGTATTTGCTATTAAGACAATCTATAGTTTTTCAATCTTCACAACTACCACCTACCTACAAAATAAGCCTGGCACAACTTCATACACAGTACACGTGCTCATAAAAGAAGCTAGAGCTTTTACCATTTTCATATAAAACCAGTAACCAAAACTTATATAGATAACGACATAACGTGGAGACAACTAGAAAAGTCCCAACCTCCCCACCCAAATAACATTAAATTTTCTCTTTGTCACGAGATTTTTATTTTTATATCAGAATGTTCAATTGAAAGCGAAATCTTACTTAGTATCAAAAAAGAAAAAGTTGTGAATTTGTAATGAACGGACTTGATTAATTGAATAATAAATTACCTGAAGAAGCTGTTTAGCGAGATCAATGGAGATGAGACCAGCACTACAACCCATTCCACCAAGATTATAGCTCAAAATGTTTCCTCTAAGCTTATACTTATTCACGATCATAGCCGATAAGGAAGGCGTCGGATTAAACAAGCTACAATTCACCACAAGTATCCCAATATCCTTAGGCTTCACTCCGGTTTTCTCAAGCACTGCGTCTATAGCTCCAAACATAACCGTCTCGGCTTCTTTCCTTGCTTCAGACATACAAGGATTCGGCGGGACACGTAAGAGAGCCTCCGGGAAGTAAGTCTTTTGTCCAAGACCGGAACGTTCGAGGATCTTTTGTTGGAAAGCGAGGTTGTCTTCTGTGAAGATACCAACACGTTGAGACCGGTCCATGAACGTTTCTCGTGTGCATATTAGAGAAGATTCGGGTTTGTAACAAGCGAAATCGAGGAGGAATATTTTGCGAGGACGAGTTGTGAAGTAGAGAGTGGTTAGAAAGATAAGAAGGGCTGCGAATATAGTGGAAGAGAGGAAGTGGAATTTGAGAAGGTGGTTGTATAAGAGTGTGAGATCGGAGAGATTGAAGGAGGAGGTTGCGGCGAGGAGGACAGGGAGGATGAGGATGTAGACGGCATTAGAGATTAGGTAATGGTAACCGAGTTTAACGTATTTAAGACGTACCGATAAGAGGAAGTTTGGGAGTTTTTTGTTTGTTACATGAATGGTGTTGTTCATGTGATCACTTTGAATGTGATTCTCATTCATGGTATAGGTCTTTTGGAGATGAGATTTAGTGCTTAATGTGTAGAGAAATAGATAACTTATGGCTAAAAAGCTGGAGTGTTATTGTGAATTTATAGGCAAAGTTTTTAGAAAGAGGAGGCAATTTAATAAAATGTAGTCCCTATGGGTTATTGTTGTGGCGGTGAGCTAACTATGCATTGATTCCGTTTTGACCAAAACCGATCAAACATGTTTTTTTTTAATATATACTCCATCCATTTTTTTTGATAAGATGTATTCTTTAAAAAAAAAAAAAAATTGATGCATCATATTGAAAATGTAAGGGTTTAAATTTTGTTTCAAATTTATCTTATCACTAAAATTAATTAATTTTATTCATTTTAGCATTGATAATAAAACATAAATAATTCAATCATTCTACAAATTTGCTCAACACATGCACATTCAAATCATTTGAATCAAATGTCGATGGAAAATAACCCAAATGTCTTGTAGTACGGATAGGTTGGGGTCATGTATTCATCTTCCATTGCTCCAAATAGTTTATCATTTACAAGATAAATAATACTATATGTTTAAAATTCTCCCAACTGTTAAGGAACTATGAGAAATAAATACCATACGTGTTATTTTATCCTCCAAATTACAGGGAGGATATGGATTCATTGAACATAGGAAACAATAAGTCGAGATGCATTGACGTACGTGTCCAATATGATTTTTGGAACTAACTCCAATCAATTGTTTGATGGCTCGAGAGTGGCGATTTAATGAAACTCATTACTTTTTTTTTTTTTTTTTTTTTGAAACTCATTACTATTTCTATCTTGCCACTGATTACTTCTACTAGAAACAAGGGTTATTCTGGGTCCACTTTTAATTGTTTACGTGGATCTTGCGGACTAATATTTGTTTTCCATAAATAATAGTTAAATATATCATTTCTTTATGTTAATGATGTTTCTAGCTACGCGAAGAGGAGAGTTTGTTGAACTACTGCTACGTGTAGGAGGAAATATGTGTTATTTATACGTATAAATTACATTATTTTTTTGAAAATGTAAGATTTACGTTTATTAATACGATCTATTCATATCATGCATGCATAGAAATGGATTTAAGTGTCAATAACATAACAAAGTTTAAAGAATGTAAAGGCGAGGAAACAAAGACGTGAAAGATAAAGCTAATGGAATACAAACCATGAAGCTCCTTTTCAACCGAAAATGCATTGAATTCAATCAGTTTTCATGCCACAAATCGTTTTCATCATCAACACCGTCACCATTATTGTGTCTGCTGTAATCATTATTATCATCAATTTGATTATGATTTTCATTTTCGTTGATTATGATCTTCAGCTTAAGTTATACTTACTGATTATTTATTCGGTAAAATTTTAGCATAAATTTATTTCAAGATAGTTCAATTTGAGTTTAATTTGTCATTGTGTCCACACTTTTTTTTGTTTGCTGTCGTCGTAATTGTCCACACATCTTATAAATTATAGTTTGCTTGCGTAGTGAGGTTTGGCATAAATATACTAAGTGTGATAATAAACTATATATTGTTGTGAATTGCGTGTCGAATATTTGTGGAAAGATTGTGTGGTAAGTCACCCAAAATTTTAGAGTAGTACTTTTTAATTGAACTATAAATGCCGAAGAATTTCTTCAAACCAAACGGTGCAAACTTGGGCAAGAAATCATTCGTGGAAGAACCATCTCTATGCCCACTCTTTTTTTTTTTTTTTTTGAATAACCGCGGGTCTCCCAAAAGCTTCCTAGGCCCAAGGACTAATCCCACGAGACTGGCAATTCTCCTATTTAAACATGCGTGACCCCTTTACCACTAGGCCACAAGGCCCGGTTCTCTATGCCCACTCTTATTAATTAGTTCTCTTTGTTGTTCACATTCATTCCCTAGTTTGCTCTGATATGTGTGTTTTTGTGTTTGTTTGTCATGATTAAATATTATTACATTTACCTAGTGCTCAATATTTAGAAGTTATCATATGAGCATCGCCAGCTAAATAGCAAGTTTTAAGGCATCCCTCCACACACAAAAAAAAAAAAAAAAAAGATAGAGAGAGAGAGAACATATATGGGTGATTTATGAATATAGCTCTATAGTTAGTTTGTTTTCCATCATTATTGCTTTATTATTCTATTATTTTCGCTTATTATATTGTAGCTTACATTGAAGAAATTGTTTGCATCAATCAAAGCGAGCATTTAATTATAACGTAAGATCTTCAACATTCAACTACTCAACCATGAGTAACATTTACAAGTTAGGCAGACATCTTATATATAGTTGGTAGTTAGGGACAATTTATTATTGATTCGTACTGCGCTAAATTTTGGAACATACAATTTTGTTGGTGCAATTGTAGTAACAAGACACTGATTTTTTTTAGAACACTTGGATTCATGTACTAGTTATTCCAAAACATTTGTGTATATATTTATGTGTGCAAGTTAATTTATTTATGTTCAGTTTTTTGTTTTTTTTTTGCTAAGAACGTAAATATCATAAAATGAAATGATGAGGTATTACAAAGAGCTCTACCTAATAGAAAAGTAACCTTGGCAAAAAAATAAAACAAGGTTACAATACTTTACAACACGTTACAGAGGGTTTAATGGCCAAATTACCGAAATGAAATGTTCAGTTTTTTGTTGTTTGATCAAAATTAGTGTCACACTCCGCAAACGCAAACACGGAATTACATAACAATTTTACATATTTATAGCCGGACACCAAACTCTATATAAATCAAGCAAATATGGTTTCTATCCATTTGTCTATGCTTAGATTTCTGTGTATATATGCACAAAAAAAAAAAAAACAATCCTAAAATCTAAAGATGGGTTGGGTTATATACTTATATTATACGTATCCCAGAATTCAGGTATGCAGAATAAAAGTTGGTCTAACAAAATAAATAATTTACTCGTACTTGGATAAATTTATAAATATAATTACTAATGAGATTCGAATATAATTACTATAAAGCATAAACATACGATAAATTATTTACATGTCTAACAATGTTGATTTGTCGTCTAGATTATATGCTACTGTTTATGTTTAATAAAGACAGATATGGCGTTATGGGCCTTAGGGCTTCAAAGCCCAGTAAGCAAAAGAGTCAGAGTCTCGAAGACATATTGGAAACCCGTTTTACAATTTTTATGAAACGGAGCGTTTTAGAAACATAAAACCTGTATTTGTTGTAATGGTGACATTGCGACTTTACAAGGTTTGGTCATCACTTGGGCGATGGCGCACGGCGGATATGCGAAGCGGAGAGTTGCAGAGCGGAAGACGACGGCAGGAAGTAGTCGGAGATCTAAAGGATTACGCGTGGAGAAGAAACCGAAGAATTCCTCTCTCAAGAATCAAATTCGTTCCATCGGTCGCATGATTCGGAAAGTAACTACTCTTCTTCTCTTCCTGCCAAATTAGGGTTTATAGTTGCCTTCTCCGGTCTTGTAGCTTGACTATTTAGCTAATCAAAGTCGGTCTCAGTGTTTTTTCTTAAATCTTTTGAGTAATTTGTTTCTGATGTTAGATTAAGAGATCATGGCCGATTATCTTGCTTATGAGATGATGATTTGATTTCGAGAAGCAATATGTAATTAATGGAGAAGAGATGAATTTTGATGTATGAGTATGTACAATTACAATTTTCTCTAGGACCTTCCTCCTGAAGTAAGAGAGGCTCTAGAAAAGAAGTTGGATGATCTGAAGAAGCAGCAAGATATCCATATCCGTCTTGCTGTTGAACGTAAAATCTTCCTAAGGAACAGAAAGGTCAGATTCTTTGGTGAGTGCTCTATCTTGATGCATTGGAATGTTTGAGTTGTTTGGCCCTGGATGATTTGGCTTTGTCGGAAGAAATAATTACTCATTTCTTTGTGTAGAACGGAGAAAGATCGAAAGGAGTATAAGACGTCTCGAGAAGCTACAACGAAGTACATCTGGTGGTCATGTGCAAGATCCAGAAATAGGTGGGCAACTCAATAAACTCAAAGAAGACCTTGAATATGTTAGAGTAAGCATCTTATACAATCCAAATCCACTTTCCTGTTTCTTCAGAGTGTTATCTGTTCTCTGCTAAATTTCCGAGTTATCCAATAGAATGAGTCGGTTGAAATAAATGCTACTGAGATCTTGCTATGTGCAATGCAGTTCTTCCCCAAGAATGAGAAGTATGTATCACTATTTAGTGGAGGTGATGATTTACAAGTATCTGAGCGAAGAAGTAAATTGCGGAAGCAAATCAAAGCCAATATAATTGTTGCTGCTGCCAGTGGGAAAGAGTTGGAAGGTATTGATGATATGTGGAGATGTTTATATGGGTCCCTTTTCCCTTAACTTTCTGTATAAAAATGGGGCAGCATGCTTTTTTTCGTCGTTGCATGCATTCTGATCTTCTGTTTGCTTTTAAAATAAGGAATGCTGATTATGTTGATCATTAATTTTATTTAATTTTTGTGGAAAACAGAGACAGGGAGCGAAGATGATGCTCTTTTGGACCTGAGTGACGATGACTTCTTTGTCAACGGAAGTTCAAGTGACGAAGCAGATGCGGATGATGAGTGGACTGATAAAAGCACAAAGTAAGCCTTGTAAATGTGGAATAATTTCTTTTAACCTTATTAGTGTATAACATGGGATAAAAGCACAAAGTAAGTCGATTGTTGTCTCTTTTCTATTGGCTTAACGTATTCCAGTAAAGATCATCTCTTGACTGTTGTCAACGTTTTTTTTTTTCTTCCCAGAGAGCCGGTTTCTAGTGCTTTTGGCAGAGCAACATCGAGCATGTCCAGTGACGAAAGAAGTCAGGTACAATGCGAAAGCTACTTACAGTCTTGTTGTTTGCATGATACTGGGGACTCTAATACGCCCAGAAAGTCAGAAGCGTAACATGTTCAATTCTGGGGTGATCAAAGTATATGAAACTGAAGTGTTATATATTACTGAATGTTAGTATTTTGGTAAGTGATTTATTTTCTTATTGTAGAAGCCATACACTACGAGGGTTTTAATGCCACCACCACGGTCAAGGTTTGCATCAACATCTCGTCAGTATTCATCTGTGAAAAGGAATGAGATACCTTCCTCCAGCAACACTTCACATAGAAGAAGCCAGTCTTCACATGCTGCCACAAGTTCGCATACAAGTCAAAGTAGCAACTTGAGTTCTAATTCTGATGCTCACAAACCCAAGAGGAAGAGAAGGCCTAAGAAGAGGAAGCAACAGGTGAGTCCCTCTTGACTCTTTCCTGCAATTCTGTTTCTTATTTTGTGAAAAATCTTGTTGGTACATTTGCATCAATCTTCCAAATTCTGTAACTAAAGAATCTGCATTCCACTTGCGAAGCTGATTATATATTATTCTATTTCCTTTTGCAGGCGTGAACGGGGTCTCTCCCGCCATGTCTGAGAAAGCGAAGAAGCTCGTAACACAGTTCATCAATTCCTAAAGCTTCACTCAGTACTACTGCCTGTCTAGTCTTACATCTTCTGATTGGATCGAATGCGTATATATATGTTTTTTATGTTGCCATGAAAGCAGAGAGATAGGTTTCTGTTGTTTTTGGCTGATGAAATGAACCCTAAGTTTTGGGCAAAACGTATTTCTCATATAAGATAAGTTTTTTTTTTCCTATTGTTTCATGTTCATGTTGGCTTTGATCGAATTGAATCAATTAATGGGAGTGATCCAACCTAGCTAGACCATCAATAATATGATCTAAGAACTTGTGAACCAAAATAGAAAATGGGTATTAATTGAAAATCTCTTTGATCAATGAGAACGCAAAACAGGAATTGCTACAAATATAAAAACAACGCTTCAATCTTCATAACACTTTTTTAATGTAATACACAACCAAAGATTGAGGACAACCTTTTGTCCTGTTTCTGAAACAAAATGTAATTAGGTTCCAGTTTCATATGCTTAAGACCATTAAGCATGTCTACATTTTACCGATGAGGTAAACAAAGGCTATGAATTGGATTCAATCCCATGAACATAGATCTCGCCCGAGAACCCGACAACCCGAGCACAGACACAGATTTTCTCTGAACCAAAAGAAACTCTGTTATTCTTCAGGTTCTTTTGTGTCTCTGTTAGGTTTCGTGAAGCTATATCTCATACACCACAGCCTAAACCTTTGGCTTCTGAACCTTTCATGATCCTTAGTCTCTTGCAAGAACATATAAACATCCTGCAACAACAAACAGAACCCATAAGAACACTTGCAAGCAAATTGTTGTTTATGACCTTGATGTTTTCGACAGATATATGTAAGAAGACTTACTCCCATGGAACGTCTCCAATGAGCATCCAATCACCATCTTTATCTTCATAAGTAGGCACAAATTCTGAACCTTTATATCCATCTCTCTCAAAGTACTCTCCCACAGAGAATTTGAACATCACTTCTAAAGCTTTAAGCAACTCTGAGTACCCTTTGTAACAACTCAGATCTATTTTCCTCAAGTATGGTGCACCATCCATACTTACTTTCACATAGATTCCTTGACCCTCATGCTCTGATTCATTCTTCTTTGTCTGAATGTTATTCTTCCTGTAAGATCTAACTGGTGGCCATCCAACAATCTGAGCCCTGCAAAAAGGAAACACTGTTAATAAACTGTAGTTTTTTTTTCACCACCTATTTAGATTCAGAGAATTTTTGTGTGTGTTTAACTTACTTTCGAGGAGGGGATGTTTCAGTTTTCCTTGATGATGATTCAATCTCCTTCTCATTATCACTTGATAATGCTCTCTTATTGTTGTTATTACAGCAAGAAATAATGCTCTCTTTTCCTTCACAAACATTGTCTGTTCCTGGTAATCCCAGCCTCAGCTCCGTTTCCTTGAGGTTAACAAACTCATCCATTTCTTCAAGAATTGCGGGAGAAAAAAAAGAAAAAGCTTTTGGTTATTATCCTTGAAAGATATGAGAGAAATAGAGAAGCTGATGATGATGATGATGAAGATGAGAGGCTTCGTGGAAGCTGAGTGTTTTATAGAAGTTGAAGGAGAGAATAAAGATAGATTGATAGAGAAGAAACTGTTTTTTGAATTAAGGACAAAGGAAAAAAAGCTAAGCTTGTCGGTAGCAGTAACAGCAACTTTGAGGCAAAAGTGTGTCCCATCTTCTTGGGGACATTTGTGGGACACTTTCTTTTTCTCCCATCTGTCCAAAGCCAAAAACAAAATCCTTTTATCATTCTTTCTTGTGATGGACGGTCCAGATCAAATCTTTGAATCCCCACCACATGTGGTATGCCATATGGGCATGTCACCTCTCTCCATCTTTCATTAATAACTTATCATAACAATAAAAATTTAATCAAAAACTTTGGATCTTTAAGCTCATAATCTTTTCTTACCAAAAACAACTGGTCTGTCTTTTTTGCAGACATTCCACTTAAAAAACGCTATATGAAATTGTAACTTTTGTTCAATTTGATGAGTTTAATTGACTTGAAATCAAAAGTTTTGACCTTTTTGAGTTACCAGCTTCAAAAACAGATACTTTGGGTGTAGAAGAGCCAAAACAGAGCCTACGTGACAAAATCTCGTATTGTTCATTACTGGGTTTTGTGAAAGCCCACAACTTTTGTCTCTCTGTCTCTCTAAACTATTAACGATCATGATCACCACACACACGTATATATGAATCTGAAATAAAGCTGAGCATTGCGACAAGACATCTTTCTTCAGGATCAACTAGCTCAAGGCTTAGTTAAATGTCAGTAACATCATAATGGGGTCTTGTTTTGGAACCTGAGAGATCTTTAACAGATTCTCGCTGTCTTTGTTCATGTTACAGCGTGTCATTGGTTGTATTCGACTTATATGGAGCTCCTAGTGTAGATGTTACGTCTTTGACATAACCTAGTCGAATTTAACCGGATCTAAGTTTTGGCTCGATTTTTGGTTTTTTTCATAGCCGAAGATATACACGCATGGCCTTCGAAATCGAAGTCCTAACTGGTACTATGGAGAGAGTGGATAAGAACTTATCTTATACCGTTATACGTACCTTAGTTAAATTATATTTCAGGTCAGTCCATGGAAAACTGTCAGGGAAAGTCACTTATAAATTGAAGTTAGTTACTAAAAATGAAATTAAAATGAAAAAGAGTGTAATGTTGTAGTTACTAAAAATGAAATTAAAATTAAAAAAGAGTGTAATGTTACATTATATGTGTAAAAATCGTAAAAGAATATTTGATTTTAAAAAAAATTATATGTATGTAGTAAATAAGTAACTTCAACAAATACTAACGAAAACACTTAACAAAATAAATAAAAAAATTCAAAATACAAAAGAAATTCATAAAATTAGTGATGACCGCAAATACTCATCACGCATTGATTTCTTCTGTACGGTGAGAAACATTCTCTTCTTGGTTCAGTCATAAATTACAAGATTCGTTTTCTTGACACGAACAGCTCATAAATTTGAATTGAATTAATTGTTTGTATACAAAAAAAAAAAACTTATGGCAAAGAAATTATTTTTAAAAATCAATATTTGTGAATTTTGTGATCCGCCTTTCATGTAATAACATGAGTAAAGATTAAAATGGTAATAAAACATAGACAAACTAATGCTTAGTTACTAACTTACTATAGATATCTTTTTTTTTTCTTTCTTTTTTTTACCATTAGTTTGATGACTAATTGCAAGCAAACCGCAACTGATCACCACATAAAGAAGCATTTGATGACCAATTACACTTCTATGTCCGATTAAAACCTAATACTGTAAATTACTGTATATCCATTAAGCATTAGCCAAAGAAGTGAAGATAATGATAATTCGTTCTTAATTGTATTTGCCGACATGATTAATCATAACACATGACACTCAAATATTTGCTTGCCCTACAGAGCAGTAGAAGATCTCGAGCCACCGTCACAACCGTACACGTGTCACCAATCATAGAAGATGCAGGTCCCATCTGATCACAGAATCGCCGGTTGATTTCAATCTTTATAAAATCTAAACCGAACGCTAAACCGCGCAAGTAATTAGACTCTTTAGTTGATTTAAATTATTCAAAAAGAAATAATTTTACTAACACTTAGACTGGTGTGGTCCAAAGTTGAGAATATTTTCTTGATAAGTTACTTAAATTCTTTCGTAGTAATAATAATGCTTACCAAAAATGTTAACACATTTTCTTTTTCAATTGGACCATCTTTTAAAGAAAAGTAATTAAATGGGCTGGGCCGCTTCAATTTGGAGTTTTATTTTGCTTTGACGGCGTATCTGGACCACTTCAATCTAACTACCACTACTTTTTTCCATTTTCTTTAACTATAAAGCCAACTTTTACAATTTTCTTATCCACATTTACTTATATTTTATTTTACTCAAATACCTCGGGTTTCCTCATTAATTTGAGGGATCTGTTTTTTTTTTTTTTTTAATGTTTACTTTCAAACCTTTTTTAGTTTGCACACTAGAAAACCTTCAAATCTTAGTCAATCTTTGACTCTCTCTCTAGATATTATAAAATGTAAAAACAAATTTTTCTTGAACATTTGTGATAGTTTTGATAAATAATATATTTTCAAAGATTATTGGGCAAAATATTGTATGAATTTAAAATATTTTGGAATTATTTGGACAAAGAGAATATCTTTACCGGTCAAATGTAATCAATAAAGTGATCCCCCAAATCTCTTATATGCTAATCTCATCCCACTATTTACCTAATTTATGGATTCTGCAAATCGTCTTTGATCTCACCGTTAAAGTTTTGGGGATCAACCAATATCCGATATTTTTAGATCCCAATATATTTGATTACCGTTTCACGATGATTGCAAACGACTATATAATAAGAACAAATCTTAATTAATCTCTTTGAAAAAATAAAGATTGGTTAGTTATATATATATATATAACACATATATAAATATTAAATAATATGTGGAGTGTGGACCATCACAGAAAACGCGGAGATAACGAATTAATTTTCTTGAAAGATTTTTTTTACAATTTTTAATCAAATTGGAAAGTTTTAATTAATCGACTGATTAAACTACTTTTAGAAACATTAAGTAAAAAGTAGACATTCCAAGCAATGGTACTGTGGTTAGCCCCCACCACGAGGCTATATTGTTATTTGTTAAGAGTTATGCCAACATATAGAATAATATATCATGAGCGTATAGAGGCAGATTCTCGCATTTTTACTTTTATAAAATATACTTCAAGAAAACCATTTATTTATTTAAGCGATCATTACAAGAGATTAGCTAGAGATGTGTAAGAACATGAGCTGATGAGCAAATGGTCTAAATAGGTACATTTTGAAAGTATATTCGGAGAATAGTTTTGCTAAATGAGTGTTTTTCACATATTTACTTTCGATTAAGATTTATTGAAAACCCAAACTAGATTTACTTTTACAAAAATTTACATAAATAAATATTCATAAAAAACGACTAAAAAGAAAAAAATATATATATATATATATCGTCGGCCGAACATGTCAGAACGGTGAAGAAACAAACTCACCAGAGATATAAATAATGCAACAAATGATAGCGGAAATGATTGCTTCCATATATACTAAGATTTATTTATTTTCTATATTATTTTAATTTGTACAGAAAAATCAAAAATGAACCATTTTGTGGTGGAGACTGGAGACCAAGGTTTAATCTTATGTGTTTAGAAGCTCTAAGCAAAATAATGTATATGTAACTTTTACTTTTAGTAATATACGACATACTAGATCATCACCCGTACTAAAGTACGGGTTAAATTTTATTTATTACAAAATTTATATAATATATATATTAGAACTAAGTTTTAATATATTATAATACAAAGTAAAAAAATATTAATTTTTTTGTCAGTCCCTATATACAATATTAGAATAAATATAGATTTTTTTTCTATAATACTCAATTATGGATAATTTTTTTTTTAAGATATGAAAATAGAAAATAATTTTATTTTTTAAAAAGTAATATTTTTGAACAATGAGTTAATTTATGTTAACAACCACAAAATAGGTTTAAATATATTTTAGTTAGAATTAAAATATCATAAATGAATCGCATATAAAACATAGATTATTTTGAATTAATTAAGAAATTAGCTATTATTTTGAACTAATTTAGAAAATTCTTTTTCAATTTATAATTCTTTGGTTGTTGAAATAGAGATTTGTTTGAGCTAATCTAATTACAGAATTTGTTTGACATTTATAATTACGGAATTTACCAATTATTTGCATAATCGAATATGTTATAAACATATATTTAGTATATAATAATACCAAAATCAACCTGTGCGTGGAGTCTATATTTTATTTTAGAATCTCAATATTTCATTTTAAAATATTGCGTGCACAATCAATTATTCGTTAATTCTAAAATTGCTCGAGGAATCAAATTTTCAAATATTTAGAAGTGTCAAACCATATTTAAATGTTCTACACTATTTTTAAATATTCCAAATTAAAATCTTTTTTTTTTGTAGTTTATAAATTTTGAATTTCAAAAAACAAATTATATGAAATTAAATATAACTATTCAAATAGTTATAAGGATCAAAACTCATTTCATCATATAATATATTATATTTAACCTGCTACCTATTATAAATATTTTAAAAAATAATCAAATTAGAGTATTTATAATTTTTAACTTTTTGAACTATTAAGTATTGATGATATTCTCTAAAAATATCAAGTAAAACTTATTTTAAATGTTGCAAATTAAAATATTTAATTTTTTATTGAAGTATATAAAATTATACATTTCAAAAAATAAATGTATGAAATCCAATATAAATATTCAAATTCTGACCCGTTGCTCAGTCGAAATTTTTGTTGAATTTATTTTTGTGTAAAAGAAATATATTACTCAAGTCTGAATTTTTGACCCGTTTAATTGTTTTCTTTATAGATGGAACAATTTATATGCGTTTTTAAAAATTCAAATCTTGGCATATGCAGAAA